GCTCATTCCTCACTCCATGGACAGCTGATGAGAATTCAAGGGGGTGGAGGAAGCACAATGCCCAGAGGGAGGTGACATTAGATCAGGATCTATGCCTTTAATAAACAGAGGAAGTATTGTTATGGGATTGATGGCTGACATAATAGAATTAGAAACATATTTTATTTTGGGACAGAGACAGGTGTCCTCTGATTGGTTGATTTCTGGAAATAAACACAACTTGTGTCGTGAATATGCCTTGCTAGATAAAGGGATATCTTAGAAGCCAAGCACCAAGAATTTTCAAACAAAAAGACATGGCAAGAAACTGTTAAAAACCGGTGCCTTGTTGAATAGCATCAGCTTTCTCAGACAACTAGCCTTTTCAATGCTTGCTTCACAGGGAAACTGAAGGAAGAGGAGAGCCAAATTCAGACACAGTAAGTGCATCCGTGTTAATGTTTTGAACAGCGCGTTGGAAGGCTTCAGCTTTCTCTTGGCTTCTGTACCCACTGCCTCTACAAGGCTTCCCACTGCTGTGTTCACAGTTGAAGTGTTTGGGATAGAGACGTGCCAGCTTCAGCAAACAGAAGTGCAGGAGTCCCAGTTAAATTTGAATCTCAGAAAAATCACAAATTTTCAATGTAAGTGTATCATACTAGACACACAGGACCTTCATTCTAAAAATGTTCTATTGTTCCTGTAAAATTCCACTTAGCTGAATAACCTGTATTTTGTCTGGCAGCCCTATCCGGGTAGCTCCCTGTCTCAGAGGGAAAGAGGCTTTGGGATACAACTGTAATTTCATACTTGGAGGTAAGTGAGGAGCAATGTAGATTCCCATTACTAACATCATTCTGCATTTCAGAAGGTATTTCCTGGGAGAAAAAAAAACAAATGGCTGCCTGACACCAACTCCTAGAAGATGGCAGTGGGCAGTGACTCTAACTGTCCTTTTCCATCACAAAAGACAAAGTCTTCTGATTCCATTGTGTAGTTGACCATGAGAAAGCCCTGGTCATCTGGACACAAAGGAAATCTTCCAGATCTTTCTGCCTCTGGTCATGCCTTTCAGATGCTGCTGCTATAGTATGAGTTCAGGGCTGCTGCCTCCCAAATTCATGTTCACAGGATGGTACACAGCCATGTTCAGAAGGGAGTTAGGAATCCTGTGTCCTTAGACTCAGCGGCTAGCACTTTTAATTGATAAGGAACTGACAGGAGAGAAACAGAAACCCTGAGGGCCAGCAAAATTAAGGTAATTTACCCAATTTGTTTTCCTGGAAACTAAGGCTTTATGTCAAGATTTTGCAATAAAAGTAACTCAGCTCCATAACTGGCTTTATCACCTTGTTCTGCACCAGCTTTCCTCGTCATGGGGAATTCACCAGCCTTTTAATCTCCTTTATTTGATTAACATTAGAATTAACAACTGCAACCTATGTTGGGTTCTGGTAAAGTGCTACTACCAAGTTAATAAGGACAATAGACTTGTTTTCCTTTGGGGGGGGGGAGGTCTTGACTATGAGAGTCCCAAGCTGTAAGTAGCAGATCACGCATTTATGGTTTTATTTTCTTAGGAAAAAAAAATCCACAAAGACAGAGTGTTTAACTATATAGCTTTTAAAGGAGGGGACACACTACAATAAATTGACACCTAAGGCAGTGTTTTGCCATAGTTGACCTTTCAGAGTTCTTCATCTGTCTTTCCTCCTATGATGATTATTTAAAAGAAATATGAAGTCAATTCTCTGTGAATATCAAATGATGTGCCTTTGCAAATGACAGCCACTCCAATCTCTCTACAAGAGAAATTTAGAGCCTGTGTGTAGGTGGGCAGCTTACAGAGGTTACCAAAAATTCTGTTAGTCCCGTAAGAGGCATTTTAAGCACAGGAAGTGAAGCAACGGTGGTTACTGAAAACACTAGGTAGATTCTGAAATAGGCTCAATGTGCTCAGCCACTCACGTCCTACACAGTGTTAGCCTTCCTCACCATTTGATTTGCAGGACTCTCCAATTACAATGCTATCTTTGTGCACCTAGTTAAACAACATTTCTTCTTAAATATCCCCCCTTTATTCCTGCTTTTATCTGCAGGGAATTTCCAGCATATATAAAGGGGAGGGGGACGGGGGAACAGATGGCATGCTCTTCTTGTAAGTCGGTTTTATTCTGAAAATGTATTCTTCCTGTTGTTTTGCTGTTAAGCTACTCTTGCTTTTTTAACATGTTGGTGCTGGTTCTATTTATTTTATATTGTTGATGTCCTTGGTTCAGAAAACGAATGTCATTCACTCTGTGCTGGCCACTCCATATTTGTGTGCCTGTGTGTCTTTATTATGTGTGTATTTAAGTTCAGTGGTCAATTAAAACTAAAAGTCCTGGGAGGCAGGTCGGGCTCATTTACCAACACAAGATAGTCTTAGGCAGTCCTAACAAGACACCACTGATAGAGCATTACCAGCAGCAGAAACAGCCTCTCATAGTTCTGGAGGCTGGAAGTTCAAGGCCAGAGGGATGCAAAGCTTTGGTTCCTTCTTTGGCTTCTGGGCTTGCAGATGGCCTCCTTCCTGCTGTGCCCTCAAGTGATCTTTATATATGAACATCACTGGTTCTTTCTGCATGTTAGAGTCCCTCTCATATTATATAAGGTACTGTTAAGATGTAATTGAGTCCGATCTTAACATCTCTGTTTCAAAGCACAATCCCATCTTTAAAGGTGCTCCAAATAGAGTCACAGTCTGAGGTGCTGGGGGCTAGCTTCCCAACACAGGAATTTGAGAGGGAGAAAATCTAGTCTAGGAGGTGGGAATCTGGCCTAGCAAGCAGCCATAATGGTGCAGGGAGAATAACAGAAGGACTGAATCACAGACACACGATGAATTCTGTTGTTCTGTAGTTCACTGGCTGTGGACTCTTGAGCAGGGCAGGGATTAAGCTATGTGAGAATAAGCTGTTTTTTTCTATGTAACTGGGATAATAGCTGCTTCAGAGCTGTCAGAGTCAAGCTCCTAACATAACATATGATATAGTGAGCACAGAGAACATCCGTTGTCAATTCTTTGTGTCTACTTACAGACTCTTAACTCAGAGTTCCAAACAGAAATAAGACATCAAGCAGTTACGTTAAAAAACATTATTTGAGGGGAGTATTGGCACAGGAAACTGTATGAAACCACATTTGATTCAGAAAGGCTTCCTCTTTTTGAGAATTTAAAAGTTTATATCTAGTACACAGAGGATTAGGAAGCCTTAGAAAAGGAAGGATTTTCAGAGAGAATCTAATCCGGGATCCCCAAATGCATGGACAAATCCCACTAGTGGTATGAAGGATGCTTATATGGGGCACATAGGCATCAAACAGCATGCATACTCACAGAGAGTTACTCCTCTTCTAACTCTTCCACTCTTTCTGATCCCATTCAGATGGAAGTCTCAGTTTGTGATACTTTCCTGACCAGTAAGAACCCATTTAAACAAAGACCAGGCTCTGCAGACACGGCATCAAGAAGCAAGCTCATGTAATGCAAAATAGTCATATTTTCATTGCCTTTTATCTTCTCCTGTTACCTTCTAGTCACATTTTTATTTCACTATACTGGTGATATATAATTTCTAAAGTAAATTTAAAGGGTGGGAAGTTTAAGATGAGATAGCAATAATAACAATATGGGTACTACAATCATGAAATCTGCAATAGGCTATTATATGTTAACCCAACCAGGAGTGAAACCAACCCTGTGCCTCTCACAAGGAAACCCAACGAGGAAATGAAGGTTCAGAAGAAAAATGTAGTATTCTAGAACCACCTAGCTAGCTATCATCAGGACTGAAGCTCTGTTCTCCTAAACTTTCCTCATCTATTGGACTCCACATAAGGCAAGTTCTACATTGTTGAACTGAAGGTAAGCTAAATTTAAAATGACCAACAGACTGTGCTCTGGCTTGTCACGGAGGCACTAATTCAATAAGGCTTCCCTGTACTGTGTCAGAGGCCTGGGGAAAACAGAATGCTCTAGCACCTGATGCTGGAGACCTAAGATCTCAAAAGGTTAAGGGCACTAACCCAGAGCACCAGGTAAAATGCCTGGGCCAGTTCCTAAGCTTGCAGCAGCAGGAATTCCTCTCAGAAGCAAGCAAAGATGGCTTGAATCCACTTGGCAAGAAACCACTGTGTCTGTCAGCTCATCTGTATCCTACTCATCTGAAAAAAAATTTAAGAATGACACCATCAAGCCACACGGTGATAGGGAACACCTTTAATCCAAGCAGAGGCAGAAGAATCTCTGAGGCCAAACAAAGTGAGTTCCAGGACAGCCAGGGCTACACAGAGAAACCATTTTTCAAAGAAAAAAGCAAACCATTAGAATGCCACAGTTACCACCCACCAAACATTTCTGATGAATTATCTCACTTAACCCTCAAAATATTACTCCAAGCTATTTTTCATTGCTCCATAAGATGGAGGAGGGGATTTGACCTCAGAATGGTTACACGTTTATCTGTACCTCTGCAACTGAAGGAATGGTAAAGTCGGCTCCAAACCAAAACAGAGTCAATCTAGAATCTGCCCCTAGCTCCAGCGTTGCACTCTGGAAAGAGAATACAGGTAAGCCAGCACCTAGGAAACAGAAAATGCCAAGGCCTTGCTGGTATAGAATCCAGAATCTTCGGTCGAGTTACTCATTTTAGACTACAATTCCCAGAATGCCACAGGTGAAGAAACTACCCAGTCAGAATGCAGTATGCAGAGACGCTGGCCAATCATCATGTAGTCAGATACGCTGGCCAATCAGGAAGCCTATCCGGTTTTCCCCCGCCATCTCACCACACGTAGAGTCGAGTTGGCTGGCTGTTGAGGGTCTGTCTGCACGCGGTCCGTTGAAGGTGACGAGTCTTTTATTTGTGGTGACCAGTTGGAAAGGTGAGAGTTATTTGAAGCCATTCAGTCACCAGACTAACTTCCCGGCTGCAGGGTGGGTGGAGAATGAGCACCAGGAAGGTGGGTGAAGGCTGTGGAAACTTCCAGGTTGCCTTAGGCCTGTCCCGAGCCACTGAGCAGGGGTTGGAGAGCGGGGACTCGGTGACCCCCAGAGAGTACAGGTCCTCAGGGCATGGCTTCTGAAGAGGAACTGCCCTTGAAACCCTCTGTAGGAGTTGGGGTCGAGGGCTCAGGCCGGGTCCTGTGGGCAAGTGCGTTAGTGACGTCATGCCCTCGTGTGCGCCATGTTGGCGCTGACTCTGTCTAGTCCTGGGGTGGCATGGATCTTCTGTGCACAGTAAAGCATCATTTGAATAACAGTAAAGCTGAGCTGTCACCAGCCCTGTGGGATTCGGGCACCCTAAGCCCTCCGATGCGATGCTCATGCCCCTATCCTTTGTGTGGGGCTCAGGACATTCCCATGAGCTTCATGGATATGTTTTATTATCATTTATGAAGTTTTACGCTTACTATTTAAAACCATGTTTTGTTTTGTTTTGTTTCCCCACCTCAAACCTGAATCCTGGGTTTGGCATGTCCAAGTGAGATTGTTATTAGCATTCTTGTTTTAATATTCAGGATCTTAGAGGTAGATGCCAAGTGTGTTTTATTCACTAATGTCTGGAAAAGAAAATAAGCTGCTGCCAAGGGGGTGAGGGAAAATAGGGTAAATGACTGGAACTCAGGAAAGTACAAAGACAAGGTCAAACTTGGTGTGGTTAGTTTGGTTTTATTATCCTACACCAACAATCCTGACATGTAACTACCAGCTTTCATATGGCAGGAATTGTCTGGGCTAATTGTGGTTTATTTTTCAAGTCATTTTGCCAGCTTTGACTAAATGGTTAGTATCTACTGAGCCATCTCTCTATAGACAGTCTTGATATAGTTACTGTACTATATATAGCACAATGTGTCGGTTTATACATTTCAGATAGTCAAGTGTTTATCCTTGTCAATAAATTATATAGAATCACATCAGATTTTAGTTTTAAAGAAATTACAAGTAGGCACTGTCATTCAAGAGTAAGAGACACTAAGTAAACATAAAATTAGGAAAGCTCCTACACAATTGCTAAATTGTAAGTTTATAAATGAGGATTTCTGTAGAGGGGACTATGTTTCTATTGTAAGGGCCCCATCTTGTGGATGTGGTTTGGTAAAGAAGAAACTTCACCATAAGAATCCTTTTTGCAATTGTTTTCAAATCCAATTCCCTTTGAAACCTGGAAAAACAAAACAAATTGATGCTTCCCTAGGTTATAACTGGCCTAACCATTTAGAAAAGACAATGATTTTCATTCTAAAATAACTTTTTTCTTTTATTAATTACCTACATTAATTTTAAAATACACATGTATATTATTTTTTAAAATAATTTTTAAATTTTATTTTCAACTGTGTGTGTTTGTGCCATTTGTGCATGGGTGTCTGAAGTGACCAGAAGACTTTGGATCCCCTGGAGTTGGAGTTAAAGGCAGTTGTGGGAGCCCAAAGTGAGTGTTGGGAACCGAATTTAGGTTGCAGGAGCTCTAAGTACTCTTGACTGCTCAGTCCTCGAACCAGCCCCCCACCCCACTACATCATTTCTGTTTCTCTTTTATAATCAGATGTTTAAGAATAATCATCATGACCATAAGCAAAAAGTGGAAGCTATGATTAAGAACATTAATACAATTTCTTTGGAGATGAAGAAGATGAAAGGTAAGAATGGAGTCAATCAACGTGTTTGTATGTCACTGCTGTAAAAGAAATGGTAGAGCTAATTTGTGCTTCAGCTAGGGTAGTTTTTCCCACTAATTATAACTGTCCTGTTAAGAAGTATTTACAGTGGGCCTGGAGAAACGGCTCAATGGTTAAGAGCACTGGTGTTCAGTTCCCACTACCCAAATGGCAGCAGCTCACAACTGTCTGTAACTCCAGTTCCAGGGGATCTGACACCCTCACAAAGACACATGTGCAGTCAAGACACCAATGCACATAAAAATAAAATCTAAAAAAAAGAGGTATTTACAATATAATCTTAACTATATTTGTGAAGGTGCTAGGCCTGAATTCCTATTTCTGACACCAAGAAATTATCTAACCTTTATAAATTTACCTTCCTTCCTTTCCTTCAACAGTTACATGAATGTATCACATTCCAAAAAATTCAGTGTCTTTATCTATGAATTCTTAACTAAGCTCCTGAAGTTATACCAGATTAAGAGTTAAAAGTTTGATTCTATAAGTGAATTGGTTTTCATTTTAAATATACTTTAGTGTAATAATAAATCTTGAAGGTCAGCCATAGATATGCTCTCTTATTTTCTCCTAGCCATGTAAAATTTCTGTGATTGAGTATTTCTAGGGATAAGCTTTCCCTGAGACAGGATGCTGGAGAACTCTCATCAATTAACCCATTTCATTTTAGATAGTTCCTTGGGGATTAGCTGAAATCCGTACCACTACTCTCTTCATCTATAAGCCCCATTAACTACTCATGAAAGCGATTTAATGTAAAGTTATTCTTATAGTTCTCAGATATTTGTAGATATTGTCTATCATTTCTTAGACCTACAGCTGCAAGAAACAAATACCAACCTTATGTGAGGTGAATTATGAGGAGAGACAATCCAAAGTGAAGGCAGCCCTGAAATTGATTAATGAAAGAGGGGCCAGGTTCTTTCCATCTTTCTGCTATGCCATATATACTGCTGCTCATAATCATTACTCCTGAGGTGGCCACACACAGACACTATTTTTGCCTATGATAAATTTTTATAAGCCTTTATCCAGATAGCTCTAGCAATTCTCTGTTCCTTTTCAAAATATGAGGGCCATGTAGTAATGATAGAAGGCTTGCCCAGCATGTACAAGGCCCTGAGTTCAATCTCCAGTACTACAAAATAAATTCCTTGGGAGAGAGGAGACTTGTAATAAGGGAATGGTCAAGTTATGAAAGGGAGAAAAGCAATTTACTAACTAGGAGACATTTGAGGTACCATGTTCCTGTTTAAAAAATAAAAAAAAAAAACACCAAAACACCAAGCATTGTTAGGAGCAAGCCTGCCCCTCTCCCCAAAAGTGAGATGATGTGGACCTACAAAATCCAGCTCTTGAAGAGGACCTATATGAGTAAAATTGAAGGCTAAATAGTGAGTTAGTAAAAGCTTTCCTCTTCCAATATATTCAGAGGGGTGGGGAGTCAGTGAAAGAATGTTGTTAGTCAGGAGCAAATGCCAGAAATTAAAAGAAGAAGAAAAAACATGTCTTTTGAGATACAGAGAGAGCATACTCATACCTATCCTGTCTTCATCTGCTTTCTTTTTCTGTAATTAAACTTCACGACCAAAAGCAAATTGGAAAGGAAAGGGTTTATCACACCTTATAGCTTACAGACCATCATGAAGGGTAGTCAGGACAAGTACTCAAGCAGAGACCACAGAGAAATGTGGCTAATTGGCTTGCTTCTCTTGGCTTGCTGGGTTTGCTTTCTTATACGCCTAGACACCTGTCTAGGGATGGCACTGCCTACATCCACATCACCTATCAATCAAGAAAATGCCCCCCACAGGCTCCTGTCCAGGCCAGTCTGATGTAGGCAATTCCTCACTTGAAATCCCCTCTTCTGGGAGAAGGGAACTGGGATTGTCATGTAAATCAATCTTGTTTCTAATTCAAATAAAAAAATGATAAAAAAAAAAAGAAATCCCCTCTTCTTAGATATGGCTGAATTGTGTCAAGTTAACAAAGCTTAATAGGCACACCACCAAAGGAGAGCAAACCACCACCACCACCACCACACACACACACACACACACACACACACACACACACACAGAAAACAAGAGTCAAGAAAAGTTGAAGCCAAATGCTTGTCTTTGTAATGTCTTAGGGGTGGCCCCTGTTCTTTACACTGTGTGCATATGTAAGTTAGCTAAGTTTAAGATATATTTACACAGTGTTGCAGTGGATGGGTCCACATCCTTTCTAGTATACCTGTGGTTTTCAATCAAAATAGGTCACACCTCAGTAGCAGCTTGATCAGTAAATATTTGAAAAACATCTTTAGAAATTAGGAAATAGCCCCTTAAAGCAGTGATAGTTACTATGACACCAGTGCCACTCTGTCTTCTCCCTTACACAGAACTCTCCCATATCCTGCTGTGTGACCTCAATCTCCATTTTGGTCAGCCCAAGAGGACTGAGGACCCCAAGGAAGCAGAAACAAGCCACCCATTTGAAGTCACAGAGATACCAGATGTAGCCCTTGCTTCTATCAGTTTATCTGACTGAATTTTTTTGTATTTGTTTTAAATTTCTGGTTAAAAATCTGGAATAACTAAATTTATTAGTTTAATATAAAATTGGTATGGGATAGGTAGGGTGTTAGTGGGGGGCAGGGGAGGAGGGGAGGGAGAGGAAACTGGGATTGACATGTAAAACAATCTTGTTTCTAATATAAATAAAAAATAGACAACAAAAAATTTAAAAATAAGTAAATAAATATGCAAATCATATTCTTGAAAGCTGGTCTTTTTTTGTTTTTGTTTTGTTTTGTTTTTAATGTCTCAAAGGGAAACTGATTCCACTAAAGCTGGAAGTCTGACTTTGGAAACTGACCTGTCTGTGTTTGATGTGCTGGCCTCATTCTCTCTGCTCTAGAGAGGCTTCATTCGTGTGCTGGGTTGAAGAAGGTAGTAGCACAACAACAGACAGCTTTGCCTTTGGGAGGCCCTAAAAAGGACTGATTCTCTGTTTCGGAGAGGGACCCTGATGCCTAACTTTTGTTAAGATGTTAATCCATGAGCAAAGAGCTGAGCAGTTGTGACAGATCCAGCTGTGAGTTATAAGGCCCATGGTTCAGATAGGCAAGACTGGCAGAAGAATTAGAATTGAAAGTACCCAAATAAACGTGTACTAGTCCTGAAAACATGAGACTTCCATGATTGTAGTCATAGGAGTGTAAGAGAACACATTATCCACAGGTTCATTTTTGCCCTAAGAGACTCAAATACATTTTGTCTCATTTACCCACTGCTACTTTTGTTGTTTCTGTGAGCAAACATCCATAAAGAGGCAGCCCAAAGGGAAGAAGGGTGGTTTGGGCTTTGACTTTGAGAGGATGTGGTTGATGATGGTAGGGAGGGAGGGGAAGGTGCTGGGCTCTGAGGCAGCTGGTCACATTGCGTCCACCATTATGAAGCAGAAAGAGATGAATGCTGTGCTCTGGCACTGAACCCACATTTAGAGTGGGTCCTCCCTCCTCAGTCAAACCTCTCTGGAAGCATCCTCGAAGATACACCCTCAAGTGATTCTAAAATTCAGTTGACAAATTTAACTACCTGAGCTACCAGTAGATGCTTTGAGGCTTGCCATGTCCTTAAATTTCATCACCTTTAGATATAAAAATGCCTGCAGTGTCCAACTGCCCTCTCCCCAGGACCTAGCTCAGTGTTTCACACAGTACAGATGCTGTCAATGCCCGTTGGACATCCTGCTAAGGAAATGTAATGAATACAGTGTTTAAGCTTTAGCATTTCCAAGTTCTGGGTCTTAAATTGAGAACTCTGGGTTTGTAAGGATGAGATTTTGTAGAACATTGTCATTGTTAAGCATTTCCACTTTCTACCTACTCCTTATCTTAGTGTGTCCTCAGTATCAACCTGGTGATTTCAAGGTCCCTTCCAAAATAATATTCTTTTCAACTCACGAAAAAATACATTCTTTTCCACTTGAAAATTTGTAGATCAGTGAAATCAAAACATTTGTTCATAAAAGTCACACAGTGATACTGAAAGTCCCCAAGGAATCAAATTGGAAAAACAAGGCATGTCAGTGTTCGGTGAATACGAGGTTATGGCTTGCTAAACATGAACAGTACTGCAAATTTTTCTCAGCCTACACTGTATCTTGATAGTGGCAAGGGGAAATACTGTGAACTGAAAATTCATTCACTGATAATACTTAGTGAACATCAGAGCTCAGCCTAGCCTGCCTTAATGCTCAGATCATGCAGTTGGACAAAGTTACCTAACACAAACTCTATTTTGTCTTAAAATGCTGAGCATATTATTTAATTTATTGAATTTCAATATGCATCCCCAAAAGAAATGAAAACCACCTGCAACATATAACACTGTAAAGTACTGGTGGGTATCCTGGTAGTCACATGGCTGACCAAGACTTTCATACCACCTGTTGCTAGCCCAAGCAAAGCAAAATTCACTTTGAAATACAGTTTGTACGTAATAGGCATCACCCCCAGGCCATCATACAGTAAAAAATGGTGAAGCAACATAAACAGAAACCCAGCTGACCCAACTGTACATTTCATTAAGTGTGGTTTATAGAGTGAAGGACAGTTGAGATGCTTTGAAAAGTTTATAAGCCAGTCTGAGAAGGATGAGACAGGAGTCATAGCACACTTGTGTTAATGACAGAAAAGCAGAGCTGAGGTTTGGATAGGTAATCTCCAAAGTCTCCTCCCTGTGTTAGAGGCCTAACACCTTCCCCCAAACAGGGCAACAGTGGTCAGTGGTGGGACCCTAGGAGGCAGAGCCTAGTGGGATGGAATTAGGCCAGTAGGTGCATGCCCTTAAGGGAGATGACTGAATCTTCCTTTCCCTTTTGCTTCCCAGCCACCATGAGGTGAATGAATGTCCTCCACACATTTACACTTAAATATCCTGTATGAACCATCACAGGCCCAAAGGAACAGGAACAAACGACCATACTGAGCAAAACCTTTCTAACTGAAAGCCAGCTAATACAAGTGGTGGGCTAGAAATGTGTGAGTGCAAAGCATTGCTCCATCTTCCCAGGAGATCTTCAATACTAGAAAATGCTTTTCAAGACAGGTGTGGAGGGTTACACTGTGGATGTAGATATGGGAGGATACAATAAAGAAGCAACAGAAACAGTGCATTTGACAGCAAAGCTGCATCACTGAATCTAAAACTGTTTTCTTCTTACACAGAATTTGTAGCTTGCATTTATTTTAAAACCAAAATACAACAGTGTGGGGTAAACAATTAGGTTGCTTTAAGGGTCTAAAAGAGTAAAGCAAAAGATAACTTTAATCCCAGGAATTTATCCCAACATGCATTTATCTCAAATATGAAAAAATACATAAAAAATACTCCCGGTAAAACCAAATAAGAAAGAATGGAGTTATGTTTTTGGAGCCTCTCAAGTTAATTGTTTTAAGTTGTGTAAAAAAAAAAAAAGTTGTGCCTCAGATTGACAAAGTTTCGTTATAAAATGTCTGATATCAAAAACCATCAGTTTCAGTACTTCTTGAACTTGCCCACATTATTTCTGCAATATGTAAAGCGCTGTATTTTGAGATGGATTGTTCAAAATCTCAGGTCTTGAGATGAAGTACTGCAATGCACTCAGACTTCAGATGTGGGCGTGATTACTTCTGCACTTTGCAGACATTGAAGAAAATAAATAAATTATGGGATATTTAGCAATCTTCAAACACTCTTTAAAGGAAAAGGGCAAAACTCTGTGCCTGCATTAAGGGGCTTGCTTTTGTCCTAAGTGTTCATCCATTTCCTAAGGTTGCTTGATCTTCACCCATTGATGACAGAGTCAGGAATGCTGATTGGCTTGACGGGCTTGCTATGGACACCCTGCAGCGTGTGTCAGTGTGCACTGGTATCTAGAGCCTCGATTTTTTCCATCAATGAGCAACAGTGGCATTTTCCTGAAGTAGTCAATAATATCTGATACAGACAGAAAGTCCTGGGAAAGTCAAATGGGAAGATGAGTTAACATTGGAATGGACAGTACACATTTTGTAATTGTGGGTTTTTTCTAATTTGCATCAGTTTGGGGAAAATGTGGGAAAAATAAAATTTGCCAAGCATTTTATAAACTTCTCATCAATAGTCAACAAATTTTAATTAAGAGAGAACAATGTTAGGTTGAGTCAGCATGATGGCCCAGGTTAGAAGCCTGATGACCTGAAGTCAATCCCCAGGTCCCACATGGAGGAAAGAGAGAACTTACACATACAAGTTGTCCTCTAATCTCCACACATGTGCCATGGTGCACACAAATTTTAAAAAAATAAAAAAAAATTAACCTCTGTAGTGGCTCATTTACCCTAAACATTTCCATCATGATATCCATGGCTTAGTATTAGCCTCTGGTTTTATTTTTTTTAGTTTTTAAAAATATGTATACAGTGTTCTGTCTGCACATATGCCTGGAGGCCAGAAGAGGGCACCGGATCTCATTACAGATGGTTGTGAGTCACCATGTGGTTGCTGGGAATTGAACTGAGGACCTCTGGAAGAGCAGCCAAAGCTCTAAACCACGGAGCCATCACTCTGGCTTTCATTTCTGTTTGGGTTTATGTATCCCCACATTGTCACAATTCAAACTAGTAGGCAGTATAAGGAACCAGGAGGTCAGACGGGGGTCGTTTCTGAAAGTGAAGCTTTAGCATGGTGTAACCATTTTTTCCCTTTCACCTCCACACTCACAATGAGGACTCAGTAGCCAAGTCTTTGCATCCATAACTTGGATCATCCAGTACAGGCAGACTGGTTCCACTTATCCCTGGACCAGAATTCAAGTTGTACCTAAACTGGATTTCGTGGTTGTACCAAGACAAACTGTCCAGATACCTCCCTCCGGGGAAACATGTTTTCATGTCAGACCCAGAGAAATCTTGGGAGGTGACACTCTGCCTCTGGAGAGACTATGCAGCTATGTCGACAGGGAGCAAGTGACCCAAATGTTTGACCAAAATTGTGTTCTTTCTGCTCAGTCTTGTCACTGATTTAAAGTATTTGGAGTAAAATTATTAGAGGATAGTTCTCATTTTGTCACTGCTTTGTTCAGCTGGTTTGCCTTGTAAAACATTAAAAAGATGTCTTAGTGTGTTACATTTGTTGGTTTCCTCCACAAAAGCAGCCTGATGGTTATTTTCACACCAAAGAGTTGACTTGGCCAAACAGGAGAATTTCTTTGGTAATATGGCCATCTCCACAGAGCCAAATGTCTCAGGTTAGCAAGAAATGCCCCAAGTATCTCAATAATTACTGTAGCAGTAATTCTAGGCTTCTCTGCTTTATTATGTGGGATTCCAAATTAAAATTTTTATCTGTTAACTTTTGTGTATATGTGTGTCTCTGCGTGTCTGTATTGTGTACTATGCATGCAGTGCCCTTGGAGGCCAGAAGAGGGCATCAAAGTCCTGGAACTGGAGTTACAGGAGGTTGTGAGTCACCCAATATGAATCCTGGGAATAGAATCCCAGTCCTCTGCAAGAGTAGCAAGTACTCAATTTTTGAGCCATCTCTCCAGCCCCTCTTATTTCCAATTATTTATTTATTAAAACTTATTTTAGTAAAGTTTTATAGACATACCATAATCTTACATTGAAATGTCAAAAGAAGTCAAAATAGATGATACTGCCTTTGACACTTCCTAAATGTATTTTTCAATTTTTTTTTAAACTTTAAAAGTTACAATTCAGGACCAGAGATAGAGCTTGGGGTTAGCACCTGACTGGTATGTACAAGGCCCCAGGTTCAGTCCCAAGTACCACAAGCAGGGTATGTCTATAATGTTGGGCTATTTATAATGAAAACACAAGAAAGACACACCTAGTGGGAAAGTCACTTGTAGTGTTTGTCTTCTTTCCTTCAGTAAATGGGGTGAGGGGCTTCACTAATGTGTTTTAACAGCATCATTGCCATACAACATGTGACTTAACTTCATGGTTGCTACACAGCATGTGATTTACCTGCATAGTTGCTATGCAGCATGAAATTGGGGTAAAGAGTGAAGCATGAAGTCCTTACCTCTTTTCCTCGAAGTCCAGTCCCCAGCAAGTATACTTGACTTTCCTCCTGGTAACGGATCTGAATGTTGTAAACTTTGTCTTTGTACAATACCATGAGGACATATGGGTTGCTTACTGTTTTCTTAGAACTATCTCTTACCAGGAAAGTACCATCCTAGAAGAATGGATGCTTGTTGTTAATGGGAGCAGCAAAAGTCAATCCTTTTGTTGCTGTTAAGAGACAAGCCTATGGGGCAGACAAAGCTATCACTTGTAAATTGACACTGAGTTCTCCTCAGAGCTGGGGACCCCAGGTACTCTGGGTCTTTTGATTTCTAAGGAAGACAACTGGGATTGCATCTGAAATTTGCAAGTTAACATCTTTGGAGCTTTTTGTTGCTTTTGGTTCTGGTTTTAGTGACAGGGCTTCTCTTTGTAACCTTGGCTGTCCTGGAACTCACTCTGTAGACCAGGTTGGCCTTGAACTCATAGAGATTCATCTGCCTCTGACTCCTGAGTGCTGGGATTAAAGGCATGTGCCATCACCGCCCTGCTTTTGAAGATTCTTACTATACATTTTTTAAGTAATAAAAACAATCAGTCGGTGAGTAATGCGCCACAAGAAGTAAGGAGGCTTACTTACCATATACCTGCTCACTTCTGTTAGTTTTCTAAACTTGCCTTTCTACACCCTCATTATTTGCCTGTGAAGTGCACTGCCCTTTGTCCCTCACACTTGCTGTGTTTAGCTTTTACCCATCTCACACCTGAACAAAAGTGAATGTGGACTTTGTATATTCTTGTCACCTCTTTCCCCTTTACTTTCTAAAATGTGATTTGCTCTGTATTTTACATTTCATACAAGAGTTATTTCAATGTAATAAAACATGACAAAGATCTAATAGTAAAATAGAGCTAATTAGAAAGACCAATGTAAATCACTCCCTCCTCTATGTACTTAACTAGAATGGGTTTTAAATGGCCATCAATATGCAATAGCACTGTTCCTTTGTTCCTTTTGCTCATAGTTAATTGAGCCAATGAGAACATAGCTGATAAAGGAACTTCCCTCTGGACCAGTGAGTCACAGGTTTGGCTTGAATTCAGGATCACCTGCGGAGCCTGAAGACTCCCTCAGCCCACCCCACACTTATTAACACAATCGCCTCAAAACTCAGGAACCCAAATTTAAAACAAAACAAAACAAAACAAAAACAAAAAACTACCCCAGATGACCAAATCGGCTGCTGAGGCTGGAAATGGTTGCTGTAGCGTTAACAATGTAAAGGCTAAAGGGTTGTTGTTCTCTCATCTCTGACCCAGGAACTCAGGGTTAAGGGTTAGTACTGGAACATGAGTAAGACTTTATAACATTAAGACTAACTAGAAATTTCTAGAAGACTTTGCAGATATGCTTTCATCATGGGTCTTTCTCATGATCTTGAATGGCAAACAAGTGTTAAGAGGAAGATAAATTAGTAAGATGTCTGAAATGATACACGATTCCTTTGACAAAAAAATAGAGACACACTCATTAATGAAACTGCCTAATATCTGCCAACTGACGGATAGTGATGGCTTGGAGGAAACATTCT